AATTGCTGGACATCGTCACGCCATTGGCTATGCTTCGTGTTCCTCAGTGACATCCGCGGAACTAAATTACAACCAGGATGACGCAAAGCTGACGCGACATCACAGGTACACCATCCCACTTACCACCTAGGCATAAAAGAGTATGGCAGGTAGTGTTGAGACAAACTGAACGTAGGATACTCAACCAATGAAATGAGGGAACGTGTGGGCTGCGGCCAATGGCAACGATGTTCTTGCGCAGCGTGAACACTGATGGCTGGCTTGATAAAGATGCCGGGACTACCCTCTACAAACAGCTAAATGGAACGGGCTGAGGTGAAAGGAGTTTTATTCTAGTGCACAGCGATTGGTTTAAAAACAATGTCATTTGCTACATTTCGGTAGTTAAGCTAATTGTCTATCTAGCGGAAGCCAGTTGTGGCTCTGCGGCTGACGCAAATGGTTGATGATTTTTAAATAATTCACGTTACTATGGCAAAGATGTCTTAAAATTTTAGATTTAATCTGCAGTCTCCAAGGCTATGACATCGCTCGAAGTAATGGAAGAAGGCACTGCCGATGCACTTTGTGTTTCGCCTCCCCACAACCGTCGATTTGTGAATGTGACGAAGCCATTTTCATTGTTAATAGCCAACAACTGATGTAACTGCTACACACAACGACTCTTATTGACACATTTTACTTAGTGTCTTGTCTATCTTGTCGTAAGTTTAGCTATGAGTTCACACTGTAAAAATTGCGAATCGAATAACGGAAAACGCGTCCATCCTGGTTCGATAAAACGTTGTTTTATTTACAAATTATTGGCATTCACATCGCAGGATATCGTCGTGAACACTGAGGGTCTCAGGGTAGCACGTAAGCCCGTCTCCATGTGCTTGAGCAATTTTTCTACGCGACCAATACCTCGCCGGATCCCGCAGTCGAATACAAGCGCAATATCTAGAGGAAGCAGTTGCAACCACAATGATTCATTTCGCGACGAAAGGAATTCAACCTGGACATCACTGGAACTACCCTCCAATCTCACGTCGCGGGGGAATCGCAAGGTAGGAAATCCAGAAGAATGGACGTAGGAAGTCGTGACTGGGGGTTGTAAGGGAAAACAAACCCTGTCCATACCCAAAGGAAGCTGTAGATCTTCTTGAACTTGTTTACGGACAGAACGCAGACACTGAAGGTGATCAAGCTAAATTCCTCATCACCCAGGCTGGACAGAGTCGTGAACACGAGACCAAGGGCGTTGGCAAATAATCCGTGCCACAGAGGATGTGTATCAGGTAGAATGGAATGGCCTGGATGAACAAGCAGAATGTCAGCTAACTCAGACGTAGTTGATATTGGGCAGGTGTGGATGGTTTGTCGCATGAGATTAGTCGCAGGAAGTCGACGTTGGTCGTTGTCGATCCTGCGAAAACCAGTAGGGCCCGAGACGTGACAAGGTTGTTCAGACTGTCACTGAAGTCCTGCAAACACGAAAACAGATAAGCACGGTGTTTGTCAAATCCGTCTAACAAGCCAGAACCCAGATTGCATGCCATGCTTCGTGTCGATTACCTGCCAATGCAATTGACTGAACATGCTACTTACACACCATGATGCCCAGCTGGTGGGAAATTCGGCATTGGTTGCATGAGACTACTATTATTCACACGATGTAGGACCGCATTTCCATAGGGTAGAGCTAAAATCTCAACTACCTATAAGCAATGGTGTCGTACTTCAGGTCTACATGTCACGCAGCCTTTTACATTGCATCCAGCAAAGCAAGCAATCGGCAGTTTTGTAAGATGAGAATATTAATTAAGTTTAAGACAACTCACGGATAGTCGATGGACTGAGAGGAAAGAACCGAGTCGACAGGGTGACTGGCCACGTCCAGAAGGTCGATGTGCGTTCTGAGTCGAGGTATTTGCGAAAGACAGGATTGTTGGTTCATGGCGTGATAATGCGTCGACTAGGCAAACAGTATCGATCGATGAACACCGCAACATGATCGGTGGCAACTCGTGGAAGTTTGTGACCACAAATGCCTCGGCAACTACAGCGGATTCTTCTGTCGCTTCAGCGAATTGCTCCATATCGCCAACACCCTTGCTCAGCTCTTCCCAATAGTTCGCTGACTGGGTCTTGAGAACTGCATCTTGATAACCTGTAGCAAGCATCTTCTCATGACTATCTCGTCGAGGCGTGAAGTGGGGTTCTGCATTCCGCCAGTACAACTCCACTGAAATTATTCTTTGGCAGCGTGCATGAAGTCTCTCAAATTTGTTTGTGGTTGTGGAATGGACAGAGTGCGTGATAACTGGAAGTGAATGTCAGGAGACAGGTTAGCAATGTGAATCCTCTCTTACCAATTTCAATCTCACTCTCTGTCACAAATATGAAGACAGATTCTCGGTGGCCAAACGAGAATTTGAACACATGCTGCAGCTTGGAACAGTCCCGACAACCAGTTGCTGCCTGATCGTCTGATTATCCTAAGCTGCAGCATACCTTCAAATTGTCTTATAGCCGACGAGTATTTTGTGAGGAAAGAGGGATGCACTCGGCCTTTGACTGGACGTCTGCTTCTAAGGATTCTGTGCGCGGCTGAGCGTTTGATTCTGGTCTGCCTGTGAGTCGGGTTGATCAAGTCGGCGTATTGTTGAAGTAAAACTGAATAGGATTCACTGTCCTTCCGTAACGTTGCAATCTGGAAAACGGCTGACGCTATTTGCAAGGGGCATCTGAAGCTTAGACTTGTCAGAGGGTCAAGTAGATGCAGATTTTGAGGTCAACGAGTCGACCAACGTGTCCAAGAAAATCAGCTCAAATTGTAGCTTGTGTCACAGCTACACCAGTAGCTGTAGTCGAATTTGAAGACCAAGTGTACAAGATTTCGAGCGTAGGTAGAAATTGAGGAACCATTAGCTGGTAAAAAACCATGAAGGATCAGGGGCTCGTTTTTGAGGCTTCGTGAAACCAAAAATCGTCGAGCGATGGTCGAGAAGTGGATCTGCAACAAGACCTCGAAAATGTACGGCTGACATGGTTGTATCAACTGTGAAGAGGTCTGCAGCGTATTCCTTTCAATGACGATGGTACCGACTCTGAGAGCAATGAGGTACATCTGTACGTCGCTTGTTGATCTTGCAGTGAACATGTTCAATGAGAAAATCTACATCTTGCCCTGGGTGTGGATTGGGTTTGTTCACGTTTTCTCGTCTTGCAGAACATTGGCGGTGGTGGTGGTGCTTCAGACCAGAAGTCACGGCTACCAACGTTCCTTCTTGTACATCTTCAACTTCACGTTGCACCGCGACGAGTGAGTGAAGAGCAATGGCATTGACGTCCAGGTTGAGTGGTTCCAGTGCGAAGTTGATGGTTGGTTTTGACACTCCATTATCCGGATAATACGCTTGAATGCAATGACGAATTCTCCGGCAAGATTTTGGCCTTGTGGTGGAACGTGTTCAAGCTCACAGAGACTTGGTCCACTGACGGACAAAAATTGCTGCACGAGGCAGCTACATGCAACAACGGTGAGGCAACGAGTGTTCACGAACAGTCGAGTGACTGTGCGAGGCGCGGCAAGACGCCAGCTTATATCGGAATGCCTGACATCGCTCTCTGAACGAAAATTACGATGTTAGTTTCACTCAAGATGAATGATTGAGTCCGTGCTCGCTCACGTTCGCTCGCTGATCTCTTATCGCGATGAACGGATTCGATATGTACTCTGTGTTCGCATCAAATTCTTTCCATGTGAAAGCTGAAAAAAAATGTCAAAAATCAATGTCTTATGTGACAGTGATGCCAGAGTCGATGGGCTTAACAGTTACTACAGTCTCCAATTCAAAGAGCAGAAATTAAGTTATTTAAGAAATGTTATGTCAATGTTATTTAAGAAATAACCAGCAAAATCAAATGCCCATTTTCTTGACTGGGTGCTTTACCTTGCAACCAAGCTTGGGCAGTTTATACGCGACCTTAATTTGATGCCTGGATGGTAATCTGATTCAAATCATTTCGCATGTTGTAATGAAGGGAATAATCATCACTGCACAGAACTTTATAGCATCAGCATTTGCTACTTAAATTCAAACAAGGAGTATTTGTAGGCCAAGCAGATTCGCGATGTCTGCATACCAACGCCTTGTTGGTTGATTTGAAGAACGCGGTGGGCAATTTAGACGCTTACACTTTTTGAAGGGGACCACGCTTCCTGTTTGTTTTTTCGAATGGATCGTTGCCTCACGTGATGCATAATGCCACGCCATTATTCCATCATGAAATCACGGAGTCGTAGACAAAACGCAATCAAACAATGCATTTCGGTTGCCTCGTGAATCGACTGACGTGTTCTCTCCATCTCAGCACTTCAGCATCTGGCCGGTTTCAGTGCTGAACGGATCGAAGGTCCTCACAGACAGCTGATTCGGCCACTTTTAAGCCAGTCAATTGAACCCTCGTACTCCATTCTACCTGTTTATCCACATACGACAGCAGTGTGCTTCTCACATTGCTCCCGGTTCTATTTTAATACTGAGTGGTAATTTTTGTTTGTTGCCCATAATGTTTGACCTGTGCTTGTTGAACAGCTATTTGCTTAGATCCTAGCTTCTAGGTGATTCTAGTTGTTAAGCAGCAGAGGAAAATGACACCGGGTCGATTGTATTGGAAGTCATTACATACAATCAGATGCAGACGCAGAATGTGGATATGTTGTGGGCCCCAGCATGTGGTGTTGAACCACGCCGGGGCCAGGCCATTAACCCTGGCCCGATTACGCTTCCCTGATACCCGCGATGAAGAAAAAGACCGGAAAGGACGCGGACACAACCGTTTACTTCAGAGCTCAACCACGTTGGTGTCGTGTGTGGCGTTTGCGCGTGTGTATTTATACCTCAGATATGTGAGTCATAGATGTGCTAACATCGAGACCTAGGTGTGTGGATAATCCAAGATAAATGTTCGTGCTATTGATATCGAAATGCTGCGAAAATGAGGTCCCTGTGTCGGTGGCTGGAATGATCGGATCAACTAGTATGAATCAACACGCTTTACAACAGGTAAATCTTGAGATCCAGCTGTTTAATTCCCCACATATGCCGCCGCCCTATTAATCCAGTCAGCTTGCAGTACAATTATACAAACTGACGATTTTCGGTGGCTGCGTGATAATTTTTGGAGAAAAACACAGAGATTAGCTCTCTTCCTACTTAAAATAGGTTACTATTTACATCTTCAAACTGAAGCGAAGTGACTTGCCTGCTTTCAACGCTGTAGTGAATTTAGTTCACGTCGGCTACCACCCTAGACTTCATACTCAGCTAACATTAATGGCAATGTGCAGTGTGCAAATACGAAGTAGCGAAATTTGGTCAAGTCTGCATTGCCACGGGAAATTTGGTTTATTTAACTAGAATCGCCATAATTCTGTTGCGTTGGCCCGCTCTTAAGTCCCAAATCAGGGCCTCAACGGAACGAATTGCATCCATGGCTTTTGCTTTGCAAGGAGTGTAGAATCGGAGTGAAATTCCAAAGCTGGAACTTCAGTCCACATTCTGCTCAAACATGCCGAATTTCATGCCAATAGGAATGCTCTTACCTACTCCCCAACGCGCATTGGCTTGGAGGCCTACATGATTCACGATAAGGCAACTGTCATGCGGTTGTGGTTGCAGGCAAAACGAGCCTGGAGACGGCGTATTTGCTTCGCGATCTCGTCAGCCTCTAATCGCCCCTTGTACTCGATTTCGATTACCAATGATGATGTACTGAAGTGCTCCGTATTAACGATAATGCATTGTTTGCGCAGTCTGCAAAATTGACCAAACCAGATGAACCTGTAGCCAATAGCCCAAGTTTAGTTGCGTGGTGGGCCAACCCAGTCAGGACAGTATGTTACTCTGGTTCGATTTTATTGGTGAGATTCTTGAATAACCTTATTGAAATTTCTGCCCAGTGACTCGGCACTTTCTGATATTTTTTAGGATCAAGGCTAGGTTTTTCACTTGGACCGTTAATTGGGTTTGAATCAGACAATTCCGCAGCACTGATCAAAATCCGTGTACAACAACATTACGCGTTTCTTCGATCGCGATCACTTTAAGCGTCGGACTTGACTCATTTTGTGTACTGGGTGAAACGCCGTGACGCTGAATAATCAGGCATTTTTTGTAAACCCCTCTACTTTTAGATATTTAAGTAATATGCCGTCAGAATGGATGACGAATGGTGGTGCGTGTCTGTCCGTACCTCGCGTTTGACTGTTCCCACTTACTTAACTTGAGGCTACGTGCCAGCGGACAACAAAACTAATGTTAACTTCTTATAAATCGAAAAATTCACTTTCTAAGTCACCCATTAACCACCTGGGGAAATTTGCAGCAGTTTAAGTGATTTAAGTAAATTGGCTTCTTGCATCCTCACAGCTTGATGCCGAAGCCTCTAGCACATTTTAACCACGTGAAAAAGAATGCAGAAGACGGAGGTCGTAACATCCGTCAATGATCCCAGAAAATGAATAATTAGAACTTAGCATTCGAGTTACGTAGTAATTAGCGAGTGCGACAGTTAGTGAAGTGCAAAAGTGGCGCCGTGCGTGCAAAGTGGACGCGTCAAAGCGTACTGTACAATCTTCCTGAATGTTCGTGGAAATGTGGTTACTGATTAACAAATAAGTAGAAAGTATGCTAGGCAATCGACTCCCAACCAAGAGAGCATCCCTCCGTCGAGGCAGAGGTTGAGGAGGCTGAGTAGGTGAGGGGTCCAGAGGTGGCAGGCGAACCATCGCTCTGGAAGAGGGATAAAAGGTCAACCCGCTGGACTCCAGAATCGGGCCCATCTTTTGCTTGCAAGTCGTTGATTGGCGGGAGGTAAGGCGTCTCGTCCAATGAGATTGGCTCAAAATACGAGGTGACTGTGTGCTGATAGGACGAGGAGGCGCCTTTTGAGTTGTCGTCCTCATGCAGCAGTATCGACTGCACCCACGACGTAGGTCGGCTGTAACACAAGTCGTCTTTTGAAGGCGGCTCTTCCGGCAACTCGGGTTCTGTTGAGAGAGAGTTTGCAGAGGTGAAATCAGCCAATCGTGTGTTAGGAATTACTTGATAGTACTGGTACGAGGTACATTTATTCATGTGCGGTCTAACTGCTCACCTATTGAATTTCGATCAATTACTTGGTGTCAGGAGCACGCTGATTGACTTACCAGTCACAAATTTGCTGTTTTGCCTTCGTTTTGGACGGAATCGTGTGCTCCTTGAGAGGACATCACGAATGCAATCAAAGTTCGCGCCTTTAATGAAACCGATTTTAAACAAAAAAACCAAAATGTTTGAGACACACCACCGATACCATGGTGAACTTGAGAGAGGCGCTTTGGGTGGTCCCATTCACCAGATTCGTGCGACCACCCAGATCGTTGAAGCAGCCTTTGACTGGTAGTTCAGCGGAAAGTTCGCAAGAGCAACTTCGCATATGCGTTGGGATCTCTTAGTGCCCATTTTTGTAGATCGTTGGACACTGCCACCTGATGCATTCAATGGACGAGGATTATTAAGATTGTCAAGTCATTCAGCAACTCGCTGAAGTGGATGTCACCATAGCAAGGCAAATAGTAGTCTTGCAGTCTGCCGTGGTGATGGTGGACTGTTGAACAAGAGTCAACGAGCCACTCCGTTCTCTACAGAACTTCCACATGACCTGATGAAATGTTGACTTGAAGCAGTGTTTTAATTCGATTAGAAATGGTTTTCAAGGCCACGATGTCCCAGTGCATGAAAACAAACTGTTCGTCATTCATGGAAAGCATCACCACCCCACCCCAACCCCCTCTATTACAGTTGGGATTTGACATTCACTCACGCGCTGTGCTATAAAAGACCTCGATGGGCATCATTTCTCCTGCCTTTCTCCTCGAGCCGTTACGGACTGTCAACTAGCAGGGTTGTGAGGCAGTGCTGACCAAGCCGCTACACACGAATCACATTGGGGAATTCTAATTTTCAAATTCACGAAGGACACAAACCGCGATATTTGGGTAGAGGGAATGCAATTTAGTTCACTCTCTGGTGATCTGTAGCGGATTAACAGTGATCGCGCCTGAGTGAACCCTGGTTACTGACCTGACGGTGACAATGACTCATCTCCTTTCCACGGGTTACTGTTATCAAAGGCTTGTCATCCGTTCACTCATCCACACGCTAATAAATGGTCGTGTCCTCTGTCGCCTCTCTTCGCTCCATTCTAGGGTTGTTATTAGCTGTTAACTCGAGGGTTGTAAGGTAGTGCTAGACCAAAAGCCGCTACAGATCAATGGCTCAATAGAAGTCAAATTAAATGCACCTACCAAAGACTTTAACATCCCAAAGTACCTAAGCATTGGGCCCTGAGATGTACATGGTGTGTTGATCCCAGCGATCTGGATCCAGTGGATCTTGGAAGCAGACGTTCGCGAACTACCCTTCAGCCAACGCTGTCACAGGGCACCTGTGACATGCGACCACTTCTGGAGGACGTTCCCCTTCACATCTACCAATCACATTTCAGCTGACCCTACTTAATTTCACCCCAATTCGCCAAGATAGCATCATCATCAACAAGCCCAGATGTTGGTATTTGAAGATGCAAGGGCGCGGTGCTTTGAGTTACGCACGCAAGGCACCGAATAGAAGTTAGTTTTGAGAGGTAGGGAGGAGTATGCCCCATTACCCCGCCCCACCTCACCCCACCGCCTCCCCTGTCTCAAGGAGGAAAAAATAAACTAGAGACCATTACTAACTGCAGTGGAAAAAGACCTAGCTAGGAGACGGGGTGGGGTGGGGGGGTGAGTGGGGGTGGGAGGGGGAGACATAAAGTCAGCAATTAAGCAGAGCACGAAACTGGCGCCATGGGCGTGCGCGCCCGGCCCAACCAGCCACCCACGGGCCTCGCCCGCCCCGCCCCGCCCAACTCCCCTCCCCCTCCTCCCCTCTACTTGGCGTACGTGAACCAAGACAGAAAAGGATGGACAGATAAGGCCGACATCACCACCGTTTATGCCCCTGTTGCTGCACCGGCGTGTCCAACTCGGATGGGAGTCGCTTTTAGTGCTCCATCACTGGTCTTATCTCATTTTGACCTATTAGGCGTGGCGGAGACGGTAATTACTCTTAACTGGGGTAGCATTTGAAAATTGAATACTCTCTCTCTCTCTCCAGCCTGCCATAAAACTGGCGAATAACGTGCGTCGGAAATGCGCAGAAATCGATTCACTTCTTAATTTACTCCACGGAATGCGGCTCTAACAAAAAGGAATTTTCTACGATGCAACTCGCAAGTAGACGAAAAAGGAGGCCATTGATCTTGTCACAAGCCGATTTTGTAAATGCGCTGATGTCCTAAATACTTCAGTAATCGTCGATGAGAGCAACCAAAAGAGCCTGATTCATGGGGGAGGGGTCAGACGGCGATCGTAAACGAGGAAACGATTCTGTAAGCACAGCTTTTCAAATTGCGGGAAGTTGTGAGGTGTCCTTGGACTGGCTTCTCTGTCCACTGACTCACGTCTTCGAAAGACAGGTCGTTGAAGTGGCAACATTTGCAATAGGATCTAAGCAGCAAGACCGACCTATCAACTTGTGAAATCGTCAAATAATGTCACGAAGCGGCCTCTAGTTCGCCCAGGTATCCGATGTGATCAAAAAATAAACAATTCAAACAACTTTCTAATAAATGTTTAGCCAGTTAGTTCGTCATCTGGGTTCTCCTAAGTCCATCTACTTAGAGAGTGAAGAAAAACTGCGGCTAAATCAAGAGGTAAATCCGTCAATTCCAGATTAAATGACCTCTACTTCGACGTTAATTACCTGAATAAGTGAAAAAGGGTAATTTGTTGGAATGCAGGATCAATTTGAGGACTGGTTAAAGTGAGAATGATGATGCTACAAGAATTGGCGACGCACCTTTTAAAGCGAACCTCGAGGTGCTCTCAGAACTGGGTCCGAAGGAGTCCTGAATGGCCGGCAGTATCTGGGGCGAACTGTTGGCACTTCCGAAGCGCGTCGTCAGTTTGTGACAATCCAGTCCAGCCTGCATGATTGGTGGAGGCCTTGAAGCGACGGGCCTCGGATGGCTGTTCTGGAAGATGGATTCGAGGTGCTCATTCAGTGTCATCAATTCCACCAGCGATGGCTGACCGGAGTAGCGCTGGATCAAATTGAGACGCTCCGTGGTTTCTGAAACGGAGGCGCGCGCATTGTACAGAGGTGTCACAGGATAAAAACCTCGATTTTTATCAATCTCAACAGGTAGTTGTGCTTGCCTTCCACATTCGAGGCATTCACTTGGGACCAGTCAAACATGCTTGCCATCCACAGGTTGCTATGGAGACGGTTTCTGAGGGAGGCAACTTCTAGGCTGTTGGAGAACTCGCAGTCAACGTTGCATGTCGAGTTGGCGCCTGCGTTCAAGAGAAGATGGCAGGTGAAAAACCATGGATGTGCACAATTTCAGTAGGCCTACACGAAAAGCTCGCTTTCATCATCGAAGCAAACTTTGTTGTAAAATCGAACTGGGAACCGTGTTTAATTGAATACTCCAAGTCTGTGTGACTGCCAAACAGAAAGTGCGTTTACAAGCCTACGTTGTCCTTACGTTGATTTATCAAAACCAAGGAGGTCAGTTTTTTGAGATCAAGGTAAAATTTTAAACACGAAGTACTAGAAACCACCAGCAAAATGATAATCAGTTAATGCCGCTTTACAACAAACAATTGTGGTGTTATTACTGAACTAGAAAACGTAATTAAATTCTCCGTGTTCATGTAATCATTAAACAGTCATATCTGGATCGCCGCAATGCTTCTGGAAGTGACTTCAACTATTTTTAAAACAGTACAAAACCAGCCATTTTCTCGGTTACTTATGGCATTAATTTAATAACTATTTCGATACTCTCTTCTTTGAAGAAAACCGTGGTTAACTCAGACAATCCATCATCCATTAGCTGACTGGCTGGAAAGAGAATTAGATACAACACAGGTGGATTTAAAAAAAAGGTATTTAGCAAGTGATTATGTGCCCTCGGTTATTCACCATAACTGTCTCTCAACGTTCTACAGGTCCTTGAATCTCTTCTTTGTCGAAGTTGGGGGCAGATTTGACTTCTGCCACGACCTGACCAATGGAAGCCGCGTTTTGCTGACGAAAACACCAACCAGTTTGTTCCGCTCTGTCGAGGTGTGTGGAACCCATGAATCCTGTCTGGTAATCCGTGGACTTTCAATGCAGTTCGAACGTAATGTAGTCTTTCATTTTCTCCCTTGAATGTTAATCCCGCAATCGCATTAACTCAAATATACAACTTTTCAGGGTTGTGTAGACTCGCAACTCTAGTAGATGACAATTGGGTTGCAATATGACTGTGAAAGAAACATTAACACGGTTGAAGGTGTTCTTTCGTCAGTAGAAATTAGGCATGAACCCAATAGAATTCGATTGTACCAACACCAGGGGAAAACCTTCTTGGCATCGGGTTGGACTTCCAAATATCTTCAATCTCGATCACTCTGCCCTATATTTTTCAGTGAGACCAACAACCTTGCGTGGGAAAAACGCCAGGAGCTTTTAGAAGAAATAAAATGATTACCTGTGATGTGTGGAAACAGATCGTCGATGAGTCTGCGGAAGGAGTCATTTACATTCTTGACGTTGGTAACCGGGGAGGGGATTTGTGATGCTGATGACGAGGGACTGATTTGTTGAAAGTCTGTCGTCTCGACCACTTGCTGGGTGCTTGATGCCTTTCAGGAACAAAAAAAGACACATTCATTCGAGCCTTGGCTGCTTCGCGCATAACCACACACATGCCAATCTAACGCCTAGAACCTCTCTGAACTAAAAGGTAGATTCTGTGGTTTCGCCTCCCCAGACTTGCTTAAGGCGAGCATTTTCACATTTCGGCACATTTACGCTGCCTTTTTTTCTAGTGGGTGGCAGGCAGTCCAGAGAAGGCGGGTTCAATCTTAAGCCTAATTGAAGCAAAATTTTGAGGACATCCAAGGCTTCAAGCATTGCTCAGGTCGAAGTACTTGGACAGGGTAATTACAGGCTGTGCTCGTTGTCAATAGTGTACTTTGGCGGCATAAAGACATGTTTGACCGGCGTTCGACGCCGAAAACTCACACGTGACGCAAATTACAAGCAGCGATTTGCCTTATTCACTCGAGTGAACTCCAAAACCCGAGTTTTTAATGGAATCAGCTAAAATAGTCCGCCAATTGAAGGGAGTCGTCAAATTTGGTGGGAAAAGTGGATACTTTACCTCGGATTTCATATAGATTTGGACAAACACACGTGGGATCTGGGTTTACCCTCTGAACCGAAGTCAACAATCAACCGCGTCGTGAGAGCCATATTTAGAAAGTGAAGACTTCACGTGGGTCTATGTGGGGCGAATTGTTTCCCCAGCTTCTAACGCTCCTTCTTCCAAGGACTGCGTTCCGACCTCAATCGTGGCCGTGACTATGCCTATATAGAGTTCAGGGAATTGAAAAAGACGGTATCAACAAGCCCGATGGCAGTTACCGTGCTTGTTCAATAGCCTAATTCATTGTGCATGTCTGTGGAAAGGCGGGGAACACTGAGGACGTCTGAGGTTTGCGGTAATAATTCAAAACACATCTGGATAAAACCCTCATCAGATATACCCACGACTTTATACATTAGTGATTCGTGGAAAATAACACAGCTTTGTCACAAGTCACAATTTTCCACAAGAAGTCAACTCTCTGCTTGTTGCCGGCGGGCAGGCAGTGAAAGGCATGTGGTCATATGTTGACCTAGACTGTGCTCGGTCAACACATGTGTTTTTCTCCGTTGGTGCGAACCTCTGGAAATAGCTGTTTTTTGTTGACTTTTAAATGAGCCGCTGCACGATCTTGTTGAGTCTTCATCCAGTACAACTTGCAATTTCGCGATTTCAAACCTGCGAGGCCACTGTCCGGGGCTCGGCTGGTCACTAAGATCGGCATCACCATTTCGACGTTTCTTAAGGCACAGCGTTGGTGATAAGAACACTACAAATCGATTATTCGTGCCTTATAAGCTTTATTTTTACGTAGGCATTCGTATGGAATGCAGCCCTTTCAAGTGTGTTATCAGTCGTAGCTCAATGTTCTGAAGCCTTGACTCTCATTTTTTTAAAACCAAAAAAGACCGCGCTAATAGTTCTATCGTAAATGTAATTATAGGCTTGATGGAAAAAATCTTCTGTACAACAGTAGACTGGTCTTTGGTGTAGGAATCTTTCATTGCAAACGGTTGTGGTGATTTGACCAATACGGCAAGATCAGCATCATGGAACAACAAATATCACGATGTAAACATCACTTGAGGCAACCCCTAGTCGTGCTTTTGTGTATTAGAGAGACCGATTGTACTGCCGGACAATGGTAGTGGTTTGGCGGCAAAACTCTTCCCCCCTTGTTGTCCGCGAATACGCGCACAAACAGGCCGATTTCGGTACTTTGAAGAGCACAGCCGAATGTTGATTGAGAGGATTAAGAAAGCCAGGTGACTAGGTTGCAAAACAAAACGGGCTCTCAGACACCGTCTCTTGAACAATACTCGCAGGGTGTACAACACGACAATGGCCAATGACCTGTCACGTGCTTCGACGAGTTATCAGAGGCTAGAAGCAGATTTTCATGTTTTTACACTTCATTGCTAGCTTTGAAGATGTTAATTTCTCGTGGGAAGGAGAGACCTACACACATAATGACGCTTTCAGTGACCCCAGGAAAACGGCTTAAGGGCTCATCTACTCGTAAACTAGGTGTTTTACCAGTGACTCGATGGATCTTACCACTTTCGTAACGGGTGCTTGCACCGCGAAAGGTGCAGGGTGAGTTCCGTTGACTTCAAAACGCATGTTGTAGTCCTTCGCAGGCGGTGACAGCAGGCAGGGCGTCGAAGGCTCTTTCGGTAAGTTGACCAGCGGTGTCGTCTCCCGATGAGGCTTAGCACACACCGGTTTGAGGTTCACCTGTCCACCAATCAGCGATGTCCGAGCGTTCGTAGGCTTGAATTTTGCAGCTTTCGGAGATGTCACCTAGAACAGATGTTAGTGGCCTCTTAACCGTGGTGGTTAGCTGTTTGGGTGATCGCAAAGAGCATGCTTCAGGTGAATTGCTGTTGTTGTGACACCGAGACAAAGTGCAACACGAGTAACAAGACGCTGCATCGGCAATTTGCTAAGTCAAATTTCTGCGTTAGCCAGTGCGGCACTAGTAGTTATGGAGTCACAAAATCAAAAGCAGATCCCTACGTAAGATCATGGAGAATCAATGTAGTTGTTGGAGCAATACTCACATTGTTGGCAGGTGGTTGAGTGGCTCGCGTGTAGACGGGCAGTCTCCACACAGGATTGTGTGAGCTCTTTAAAGCGCTTTCTTGGTGATGCTAATTTATACTTGTAGAGAGTGAACGTTTCCATGACAAAGGCCAAACAATGGCCCAGCACATGTTCTTTAATCAGCAAAAAACACGTCGTTTATGAATTGTAGACCATTAGCTGACCTTGGGCGGTTGTTGCTAATTTGTAATACTTCGTTTAAAGTGAGTTTGCTAGTATCCAAAGAATTAAGTCGTTTTTTTCAAATCAAGACTACTTCACCGCTATCCCTATAAACTGTAAATAGAGGTGATCGCAGAACTAAACTAGCGGTGTTTTATCCGAAAAAATTTCGCTGCTTTCGCAAACCAATTACAAATTATCACGATGGGCAGAATTTTGAGGAAAAGCTGCATCGTTTTTGGTCAAAATTTTGCCAGGGAAGAACGTAACGAGGTACTTTTGAGGTCGTTACGTGACCAATGAAATGAGTGAACGGAATCAGTGAATAATGCTTGGCTCAGCATTCTCACTTAGATAAAGAATTGTCACAATTAAAACCGACACTAAGTTAGCATTTAAAACACAGAGTAGTTGCACGATCAGTTAATCGATTGTTTCACAGAACTCTAACGCGAAACCTTCGAAGTATCTAATGCTGTCTGCAGCTGGCCAACACACAAACTGGAGCCCTGTGTAGTGACCTCTCCACCTTCCTCACAAAAATTGACAGCTTCTGGGAGTCTCTTTGCTTTATAGCCTCATACTATAACCACAGTTGAAGTACGAACGCATAAACATTACCACTCTGAGAAAATTGTTGAAGTGTACCGATGTGAAGATCACATGACATGGGCTTACCACCTCCTGCGAATCGAAATTTTAGCCTAAACTACCCTGGGTCGCAAGTTTTCGCAGTGCGAGGAGTGGCTGTAATTAGGGATAATGGCAGGCCAAATATGGGGCCCAAACAATGTTCTCATGACGGAAGACAATCAACGGAAAAACGCTGGTGCCCTTTAGCCGGGAAGGGGGGGGAGAAAAGGAATTCCGTGTAACGCTTCAATCATGCAAGCCCGCCTTCCATTAGTGAGTTGCGTGACCGTTCACGAGGTCCCAACCTAAGCCAGGGGGAGTTAAACTGGACCGTCGGTTGCACCCCGCACCTTTGTCTGAGGGTATAGAAAAGGGTGTTGAGTGGAATTATGGCTCTTTAAATAAGCTTTTACATGGACGGTAGGAAAACGCAAATAGAAATCCACGATTGGTCGCGTGATCCGGTGAAATTTCAAATCAAACTTACGAACGAAATGGTGGGCGACAAAGTGTGCCTAGAAGGCATTTCCTATTAATCACCTGTCGAGATTATCTTGTACGCTCACTAACTAAAAAGATGCGATTATAAGGGGAAGTTGCAGGTAACATATGCTTGAAAACCGCAGCGGACCGATTTTGTTAGGGTTGAAATAGTAACTAGCCAACAAATGTTTTCAACACGTAAGAAGTGGACAGAAGTGTGCCAAAGTGTGTGCGCCTTGGATTGATAGCGCAAGCTCATGTAACCAACTACTGCCTTGCTGTGCGTTTAGTTCCAGTCTGAGAAGAGAATTGTACAATACAGTATTGTCGATTACGACTAAGTCACCATTAAACTACTCCGAAGCACATCAATGTCATCCAGCTGTAAAAAATTAACTTTAAAGTCTATTTAGTCGAAATTAGAACAAGTAAGTAATCAAGGCGTGACCCATCATCCAATAGGAAATTGTTTTTTTGTAAATTGAATAATGGTTGATGAGTTTGAAAGCGCTGACTTGACCGAAAATGTTACTTGCCTCATCCTGATAAAAATTTCTTACACATCGACCAGAACACTAGCATTTTAAATTTAAAAATGTAGATAGAACACAAAGCCACTTGGAGCGGTGCACAGTGATAATTACCCAAACCGACCAACCAAACGCTACAACTTTACAGGGACAAAAATGAGAACTTTTTTTTTCAAAAAATGTCTCAGCTTCATGTTTCAATGGAAAACACACCTTAGTAGATGCTTCTAGGTTGTTGATCTAGATTAGCAAATCTGATATATTCATAAAATCGGTCCATCCGAAACGCTCGATTGGTCAATCCGTCAAGCGGCCGAGGTTAACAGACCAAAAAGACGTCTTTAAAAGCTAATTTACCTGACGTGCACAATGAATCACCTTTATTTTAGCAGCATTATTATATTCTAACGTCTACTGGTTGATAATGTTGATATTTTCCCCAAAATTTTACAACCCCTACCATCTATCTTGGCTGCAATATGCGGCAGCTCGAGTTCGACTCGATGGGTAATCTCTACCCCTGTAATTGTCTCGCAACTTTACTACTAGGTAGTCCAAGACTGATTCTAAATGTCATTTCTGCTTGAGTTCCAGTATGTAAATGCCCCTTCAGTGCGTGAAGAGCCGTTTTAAAAAGTAGGTTTAAGTAAATTTAAGTAACATGTAAGGTTACTGGTACAACTTAGTCACAAACACCGTATGCTATCTGCAAGGTCATGCGACTAAAGTGATTGCTACAAAGCGGTGAGGTTACTTTTTGATACATCCTCACACGTACTCTGCCCGTGCGACCAATCAAACAGATGTGAGAAAAAAATTACGCAGGGACAAATTTAGTCTAATGACACAACCTCAGAAATATGACTGAAAACAATCGCATGTTATGGTATTATCATAAGCATAGCCACCTTAAGTAAGTGTCCATTTCTGTGAAATTCTGTTGGCATCTTGTTAGCAAAAAATGCTCCGCAGTTACATGGCACATTAGTGTAATATTTTACAAAATACAAATACATGACCGAATATTTGTCTATAAAGGTGTGATCTAAGTTACTTTGCAGTCATATTGAAGTATTTTACACAGAATAACCGATTAGGTTCTTCTATTGTTTGATTTTGCGATTTCGCATAGAGCGTTGGATTGCAGCTTAACGATTTAAACCTAGATGCATTTCAAGTGTAAGTTGCCCAGAGACTTTTGCATTGGAACTTTAATTTTTATAACCGAAACTTGGGAACAAGATCCTCCGTTCTGTTTGCCAATTGTGTATTATCTCTTGTTGCTGCTACAAAGCACAAGTACCCAAATTTGGCCAGCACCTTTCCTACTAATAAAAATGAATATTCATCTATCTCATTGAATAATTAGTTGTTAACCACTACTATGTCTCAGTTCATGTTACTTAAATTAAATATAAAACTGCCAAAAATTGAAAGAAAGATTGGGTGTCCCTGCATAATCGCGGGGGTTTAGATTAATATAAGAAAATAACTATAAACCAACCAAAAAATCGATTGTTTTGTAAATGGAAATCAGGATGCTAAAGATGCACTATTTCGAACTTTGAAGTAGCAATGAAAATGGCAAAATTCTAATGAGAAAACCTACGATCTAGATTTCCGATGAAATTGAAGTTTCAAATCAAAGTGTACGCTTTTGCGGAAAAACTATTGAAGGTGCAAGTAAGCAATTTAAGCAATTTAGGAACCGTGTTTGTATGATCGCAAAGTACAAAGCTGGCTTTGGTTCTTACGTTCGCAGTTTTCGTAAAAGTTGACAACTTTGACTTATTGCATTCACCCATTATCCTCCAGAATGAACCTCTTCCAGGCTCATCAGACCGTCTTGCTACTTTTCGAAACAAACGGTTTAAAGACAAGTTATGCCGTATTGAATTCTAAACAATAAATATAACAAAGTTATTACTTTCCATCCATTCTGGCCTTCCCGATAATAAGGAAAGTTCTTACATATCCATTCATAAATTTCATTTAACGTCATTTTGTTTTGTGGCGAAGACTCGATTGCTTTCTTGATAAGTTCAGCATAGCTGTACGGTGGCTTATCTGGATGAGCATTATCCGGCTTTGAATTTCGATTTCCACTGACGAAATCCACAGAATCTGCTTGGGATACTTGGTCAAAAAAGACATTGCTTAATTTGAGTCCAGAAAAGATATCTATGGATGGATTAACAAGCCAGTCCATAGCTGTTAAGCTGTCATCTATCTCCGTCATTTTGATATCACGCAAAATTCATTTCAAATGTGCGACCGCGTCATCAAATTTAAACACGCTACAAATCTATTGACTTAGTAAAGCAAATAACAACATTCAAATTTATAAATTAAATTTATAAAGCAACATTTTTCGCCTAGTTTAGACATTGATTATTAAATCTTTTAATTGGCTTTATTCAATATGCAGGAATAGTTTTATTCTGAACCAACGTACTTAGTTCAATTAAATTAATTGTGGATTTAGCAAAAGAAGCATTTTTACAACCTTATGTCAACGTATTTCATTAAATTAAAATTAAAAAATTTTGGCAAAAGTACCTCAATGTATATGATATTTCCCCACGTTAGCCATTGCCAAATTTTTACTTAACAGTTTATATTAAGACATTTGTAAACTCATAAAATAAAACTTACTTATTGTCGGAGCTGCTTTTTATCGGATAATGAATTAGTCTACAGCCAAGTTTTTAAAGTTATTTGAATTGTTCTATAATAGGCATTCTTTTTTCCTATTCCTTTCCACACTAAATAAAACAATCCTATTTATCACGAATTATTTACGACAGTGCTTTAAGAAATTACCATAATGGATAACATAGTGAAGTAAATATATGCATTCTTTGCATAATGCTAACAATGACTAGATAAGTATCTATTAAGTTTGGTGTTCAGTATGCCCCTCTACAATTTGTACTAAATCCGTTTTTATTTCTAATTACCGTTCTTTAATGCACTATCAGTCGTGCACACCTTTCAAAGATGTATTAACTTACTTTCATTATTTTGGTGATTTCACTTTATTAAACTATCGGATTATAAAATTAGTCATTTTAAGTATCTTAACATCATTTTACTAGGAACATTGGACTAACAGCCAAATCTCTGTAGAAATCGATACCTTCTTAGGATTTCATTTAAATGCTTTATTGTGTATTCGTTACATAATGAATAATAAGCTCAAATTCGTCAACGCTCACTCCTCTTATTATTATGCTGCATCTTTTCATATTACATCAATGAATTTCATTTCATCAAAAATAGTTATTAAGCAAGAACACACAGTAACCTGAATTGCGACTTTACCTGTACGCTGTTTTAGTTTACGAACGCGCTAGGGTGAATCTAGCTAACTTACGACCTAAATATCCTTTTGAACCATCACAGATAAACACACACCGTTTTTGCGACCTAATAGCCTGCTACGTTTTCGTTGCCTTCTGTCTAATTCTTCTCTGAGTACTGTGTTTTAGAATGGGTCGCAACAAAACAATTGCTAAACAGAGCTCAAATTCAAAATTTCAAATATCCACTAAGTTTTGTATTTTCAATCCCCATTACACGAGAACTACTATATTCAGTTTTACACAAATTGTGCAGAAAAACACTGACTGTTTACTTCAACAATTAGGACTTCTTTAACTAGTATCAGAAACATTGATTGAAGTTATTTGTATTCTTTTAAGACATATTCCTGGGTTCCTCCCACTGTCTTCCTGGCACTTTTAGACGCTCAGCAACGAAAATGTTGCGGTTTTATTATTTCAAATTCTGTAACTTACTAAGAGGACTGAAAATTGCAATCACAGCATGGAACAAAGCGAACTTTGATGGGCGTTATGTTGAAATTGGGTTAACGTTTTATCGCGAATTCAGTCGCCGCTTTGGTACTTCTTTGTACACAATAAAGGGCTCTAGACAATTACAGTACCAAGATATCAGTAGTGATCGTGTGAGACATTCTTAAAGCATTTGTCATGTGGATCGACTCAATCGACCAGATGCCTTGCTGCGTTTTTAATGCAAGAACGTTATTCGTGGATTTTATAGTTCTGCTACTGGTGCTTCGACTTTACGTAAACGTGTTTCAGAAAGCAATAAAAAAGAGTTACCAAATACTGGCAGTGTACTTAACATGAATATTAATCTCTTCACCCTGTAAATATCTCAGCTGCTCAATTACTGATTGGTTCTGTGGGGTTCGTGTGCCCACTGATTGAGCCAAACAAACTGCAATCTATACGTTTAGCTGATATCGGGGTTTTCGTTGAAGGCGTACGAGTGATTAATTTGAACAATCAAGAGAAGTTCACAACTTCGAAATAATAAAGGTAACCGGATGCATGTCATGTAAAGTATGCGCCTAGTGACTAAGTGGAATGCAACACAAAAAACGGACAAAATAATCAAAATCTGTGCACCTACGTAGCAGGTGTTCGAGAGTTGGATGTCATTGTGAGTTAATCGACACAAATTTAACTGCATTTTTAATGCACTTAGCCATATACCCATAATGGAGCATCAAATACCGTCAGTTTCCAGCAAATCCGGCATGCACTCCCCGCCAACGGCTAACGACCACTTCTACGTGGCCTTCAAAGCACTCGTTGATCTTAAAAAGTCAGACGTCCTATTTCCAGATGACATTTTCTTCCTGTACCGTGGTGTTTTCATAACCTATTCAAGCACCCTCGTCGTCAATACCTGCACGTTGTGTACTACAGACGAGGAAGCTGTGGGATTTCATTTCGCAGCCCAACAGTTCCCTTTTGAAGGTAAATGGGGAGGCGATGAGAGTGAGGGAGGAGGAGGAGGAGGTGGTGGTGGGATTAGGTGGTGATTAATGCTGTGTGGGTGCGTCTTCGAGACGAAATCGGGCCAGCAAGCTCGATTAATCACAGGCCTCGTTTACACCCTGTCTGAATTCACGCCGATGTGTGCGTGTGTGTGTGTGTGTCTGGGTGTTTGTCGTGTCCCGCCGCCCAGTGATAGACGCGCGGCCCACATGGAAGATGCTCATGTAGACGCACCCACCTGCCCTCAGACCAGACGTGTCTTGGGCCTAGAGACGTCTAAGTGTCACGTGGCCAAACCTCCACGTTCATCCACATACCCGCTGAAAGTGCAAGTCACAAGTATTTTACTGGCTGTTCAATCATTATTTCGAAATACTCATAAAAACCTCTGTGTTGATTTGTTGTGTCAATCTACGGATTGGCGATCAATCCGGGTCTGTATATAAGTGATTCAGCGTTTGGGGAAGGAGCGCATCAACTGAACGTCAAATTAGCCAGAAAAAGATACCCAATATCCACAAATACCGACATCCTCAAACACAAGAGACTATGACAAGATGATCTCCACATTCAACCGATGGGCTCCTGTGTGTGGTGAAAGCACCCGCAACCAGTGAGCAAGCCAAGCTACAATTTATACATTTTGATCGAGGAAACGAGGGGCCTTGAAGCCAAAGGAGTGAAGGTAACGCTTTA